CGAAACTTGTCTAAATAAAAAAATACCTCATTATTGTTAAATGGCAATAATTTTAAAGTATTTTGACATGATCGAAACATTAATGGTGGGGGGGATCACTTATACTAGTTAGTATCCACTCAGTTCAATATAATCTTAAAATACCAGAAGAATTACAAAATACTGAAATTACATGTGTTGCCATTTTTGTCTCATACATTACTCTAAAAATTTGACTTTCATGTGTTTATCACCCTCCATGTGCTGTCACCAGTGTTTTAAAAACCAAGGCATTGAGCAAGTTAATTAACATAATTACTTTTAAGTGCAACTCTACATTTATCATTGCAGGTGACTTTAACCTACCACTTATAAACTGGTCAATTCCAATTAGTTTCGGAGATTCTTCGCATGACCTATTTAGAGAAACGTGTTCGGAAAATGTTTTAGCATTACGAGCTTGATAATATCGACTAATAACTTTCAAGAACTAATACTAACCAACGACTCGAAAAATGTTTTTAATGTAAAAGCTATTGTAACATTTACAAGCACTTAAGACCACTGCATGATTGTTTTCGATTGTAATTTGGAGAAATTTAAATAAATTAAATCTTCAATTAAATACAATTTTTACAAAGCTGATTACAACGCTATACAATCAAATTTACAAAATATAAACTGGTACATTTTTGCCAAGCAAAATCATGTTGATGATTTTGCTTGGCAAGTATGATGTTAAAGTATTCTGTTAAGTTATTTGTAAATATTTAAACTCATCTATTTCTATACATGTTCCAGTACATTGTAATAAAAAAAAATAACTTCCAACCTTCAGCCATTAGGAAATTAGCCTCTAAAAATGCATGCATAGAGAATACGAAAGAACTGGTAATACATCCATTCATATTAAATGTAAGATTTGTTTTCGTTTACACAATGCAGAATTAAATAAATATTGTATTTTCAGAGAGAAGGTTTAGTCGATAAGGTTAATATTGCACTGTTTTATTCTTTTTTAAATACAAAAACCAAATGCTGTAGCTATGTTGCACCACTATTACGATCAGATGGTTTTCTTAGCACCGACGATTGTGAACAAGCACATCTATTATAAAACTTTTTCAGTTCTATTTTTGTTACAGATAACAGCATTGCATCTATCTTAGATTTGCCAACACACTCGAGCTCTTTAAATAATGTAATTTTTCTATACAGCTCTGTAGTTTTATACCTACAAAATCTTCCATCAAAGTCTTTAAAATTACCTGAAGAATACCCAGCAATACTTTTAAAATCAATCGCAAATGTCATTGCTATTCCTTATTCCATACTGTTATTATGACTCATCAATTTATTATTGCTTATCAATTTGGCTTTTTAAAGCGTAGGTCCACCGGCAAACAGGTGTTGACAACCTTAAATGAGTGAACCACTGCTGCTAATAACAAAAAGAAAGTTGATATTGTATATATAGACTTTGAGAAAGCTTTTGATTCTGTGACTCACTCTAAGTTATTGTTCAAACTGCATTGAATACGTCAAGAGACTGGTTTAAGACCAATCTTATTTTTAGTTTTTATAAACGATGTAACTTCATGTATTGATGGTGATTTCAGCATTAAGTTGTTTGCTGATGACAGCAAGTTGAATGAAGCAAGGAATGATGGAAACAACAAACACCTTAACAATACTTTAAAATTTTTTCAGAATGATCAAAATTTTGGCAACTTAATGTTGCAACCAAAAAATGTTTTCATCTACTCTATGGAAACAGTTCTTTACCATTAAATTCATACTCAATGAACATGGGTACACCTATTGAATCAATTAGTTCAATTCAAAAAATTGGTATAGTCGTATCTTCGGATATGAAGTTTTCTAATCTCTGTTATTTTATTGCAAGCAAGGCACATTCTTGTTCCTACTTACTTTTAAAATCCTTCATCAGTAACGATTTCAAGCTTTTTATCAAAGCCTATAAAGTTTATGTAAAGCTATAGAATCTAGTTCCTCTGTGTGAAATCCCCATCTTTCAAAAGATATACTTCGGTTAGAAAAGGTTCAGAAATTTTTTTACTAGAAGGATTTGTAAAAGATGTCGTATTCCTTACAAAGATTATTCTTTAATACTCAATATTGTTAATCTAGAAACTCTTAAATGCCGTAGAATAAAATTTGATCTTGTAATGACCTATAAATTTATACATAATCTTATCGATCTTTCTGAGTTTTTTTACATTTGCTTCTTCTTACCATTCTACAAGATGTCATACTCAAAAACTTAATTCACGTATTAAATGTGAAAATATACACAAAGGTTTTTCTACTGTGAAAAAGTTGTCAAGATATGGAATTCTCTACCTGATTATATTCTTTACTCGTCTTTGTTCAAATCAAATTTAAAAAAGTACAATCTTTATCACCATTGCACACTATTTTAACTTTTTTTTTTTTTTTTTTCGGTGTTACATAAGAGTAATTTTTATATTACCTGTATCACCATTTTGTATTTCTTATTGCTAAATGCAAATAAATCAGAAATTATAATAATAAATAATAATGCAAGTTTCATCGAAATCTTTTTTACAAGTTGCATAGAAATTGTTTCTATTGATTTTTTTAATAAATTGAATATCTTCGGTGAAAAGTTCAAAAGTATTTAAACTTGGTTTCATACACCGTTTAAATTCGATTTTATAATTTATAAACGATAAAACTGCATTTGCTTTAACAATTGCAAAGCAGCCGGTTAGAGTTCTGGCTCAGAATCAAGTAATCGGAAGTTCGATGCAGGCTCTGGCTAGATAAGTTACATTAGTTATTATTTCCGCCGTGCTATGTGATAAAACCGTAAGAGCTTCTTGGAGTTCCTTAATAACAACATCTACACAAGAAGTGATAAGTTGAACAAATAAATTGTAACGAACTAAATTTCGCAGTGTAACCATCTATTATTTTCTGTAAGACTATTACAAATTAAATGCAATTCGGGATTTAATTTAACAGTTGCAAATAAGTTTTAGCTTCTCCAATCTAAATTTAACAAATAGACTTTTTTGAGCCTATTGTTAGTTTTCATTTCTTTTAAACAAGTTGAGCTTTTAAAATAGACTATTTTATTGTTTTTGAATAAAAACTACTTGGAATTGTTAAACCAAATCCCGAATTGCATTAAAATTTATAAGCTTTGCAGAAAATAAAAGGTGATTACAATGAGAAATTTACTTGGTTACATTTTATTTGTTCAACTTATTACAACATATCTTTTATTTGTTCAACTTATTACAACATATCTTTTATTTGTTCAACTTATTACAACATATCTTTTATTTGTTCAACTTATTACAACATATCTTTTATTTGTTCAACTTATTACAACATATCTTTTATTTGTTCAACTTATTACAACATATCTATCTTTTATTTGTTCAATTTATTACAACTTATCTTTTATATTTACTTTTCTTAATCTTGAGTAGAGAAAAAAAAAAAAATAAATAATAAAGAGATTTCTCGCCTCATAATAAGATAAAACCAACCAATTTTCACTTTTTAGAGATTTTGTGTTAAAGGATTTTTACTTTAGATTATTTGAAATTACCATGTCCACCTAGTTAGCACACATACGTTGGTAAAACATTAGAACAATCAAATTGCCTTATCAAGTAGGTCGAGACATGAAGTTCAACAGCAGAATAAAAAACTGTTTTTTTTATTCCTGTGCTCTAATACACGGTTTTCGACTTTCTTGAAAATCTCAAAAATCTACATGTAACACAAAAAAATTCAAGTAAATTAACATTAAAAATGATACATTTTATGAAAGAGTCAATTTATTTTTTAAATAGATGTTTTTTCAATCTAAAATACTTATTTAGAAATCAAAAACTTTTTGAAATTGAACTTTTATTATTCTTGCTTTAGTTTTAATGTTGGTGCAATGACGTCATCATTATGTAGCAAAAAGTTGCTCTAATGGAAGTTATATATAGCTTCCATTTTAGCAACTTTTCACTTACAAGTCTATAGACTTATAAAATGGAAATATAAAATATGCACAGAACAAGTAAAAACGAACAATGTAAAAAAGACGAAATTAAATGTAATTGTATCACTCTTTCACTTATTACCTTTTCCAACTATAAAGAAAATCTTCTTCCCAACGTGCAATTTGGATCAAACTTGTTAACCACCTCAAACCTTAAAAAACAACTGATTTTTTCTGTGCTCCAAGCATTTTAAAATGCTCCAAGCATTTTAAAGATAAAGAATCTAAATTACAAAATCCTTATCCCACTGAAAACCTTGGATGCAACTCTTGACAAAAAGTTGCTCTTTTGTGCCCTAGCTCTTAATCTCTAAATAGAAATAGTACAATAAATACTGACTCCACGCAGCCTTTACTTAAAAAATAAACCAAACCCAAACTCTAATACATATTGTAATAAAATAGTTGATTGTCATTAAGACACTTTTTTTGTTAAACAACCATCTAGTTCCTCATTACTTAATCTCAACTTCAGTCTAAATAAAAACATTGACTTTTTGATTAAAAAAGTACCAGCAGTAATAGAAGTAGTAGACAAAAATGAAAATTATATTAATGCAATTTCTAATCTTAATGAGTTCTCTCAAGCTCAAGACTCATTTTTTTTTTAAAAGTAACTTGAAAAAAACTACTCTTGAGTTCCTAATAAACGTCCTCCCCGTTTATTAATTTTTGGATATTTTTCCCACCCACCCTAAGCTTATTAAGACCCACCCGTTTATTAATTTTTACTTGTCAACAAAATTATATCTCAAAAGTAAAAAAAAAAATTCAGAGAAAATCGGCCTTAAAAATTTGAAAATAATTTTCAGTCACCGATAAAAACAAAAACTTTCAGTGTAAACAGGTTTTACAATTATGAATATATATATATATATATATATATATATATATATATATATATATATATATATATATATATATATATATATATATATATATATATACATGCATTTGTTTATTAATTTAGATCAGCGTAATAATAACTCAGTTGTACGGTGACGTTTACGGTATGATATTAATTAATAAAATATTGGAATATTTACGGTATAGAAGTTTAATAACTTAATATATTTTGCGGTATAAAACACATATTTGATAAAGCGAAACGTTATCATCATTATCATTATCGTCGTCATCATCATCATCATCATCATCATCATCATCATCATCATCATCATCATCATCATCATCATCATCATCATCATCATCATCATCATTATCATCATCATCATCGTTTTATTTTTTTTGGTTTTTAGTTCTCAAAAGCCTCAATTTTGTCTCAGTTTAATATTTTTGTTTAATTTAATAAAGTTAAGATAATTGAAAATACTAAGTTAATCTTAAAAAAGTTCAATATCTGATAAAAAATGCTGTTCAAAATCACAGAAAGTACAGGATATTATACCTGAATGGTCATCAATTTCCATTTGACGGGAGAAATAGACGCCCATGTTTTCGCCCGTTAAATGATAAGGTTTTATTTTAAGCCTGTCAATCCACTTAAAATGTTTGTTTTCAATAATTTCTTTAACCAAGCGTTTTCCAAAAATTCTTTTAATGCAAAAACGGAAATTTTTTTAACAGGAATGTTTACAACTTTTTTAAAAAGATTTCTTAAATATGCTAAATTAAGTATACGCTTCGTATATAACTACAATTACATCTCAGTACAATCTAACATAAAAAATAGCGAAATTGCAAAATATAATTTCAAAATCATTTGCAATATAAATAAAATAAATAATTATACATTTTTATCTACTAAAACATAACCATTAGTAATAAAAAATTGGTTAACTGGTATCTCAACTTGTTTCTCCGCGCAGCAGCCTTGTTCGTCAAGGTTCGTGTTTCGGAGTTATAGAGTTGAGAGAGGGTTATAGCCACAAGTAGCCTCCTCATCTTGGGAAGGTGAATTTCAAAAAAAAAAAAAAAATCTGTGCTAGTAAATTTCATAATTACCTTCTTCTCAATACAAGTTTTTTACTTTGTAAACAATATAATCTTAAAGTAAAAGCTGCTGTCTTAAATAAAGTTTAAGTGATTTTTTGACCTTGTTATACCGGTATATATAGAGTGACATTGCTTTGGAAAAATTCAGCAAAGGAAGGAAGAGGATATGGGAAGAAACCACAATTTTCCCAATTGCCTAACATAGATTTTCCGACTGTGTTTTTATTTTAAAAAATCAATTTCTGTTTTATTTAAAAAATCTATTGTAATGTTGTTAATGTTAACTGTCATAAAATTTAACTAAATACACAGCATGGTACAAAATATCTTACAGCGTTTTAGCTGGTGTTAATTAGCTGGTGTTCTTTAGCTGGTGTACGTGATGACTTAAAACCTTAATCACCTCCTTCTAAACAAATATTTAACAAAATTTTCATCTAACTTTTTAGCACATGAACGTCTGAAATTTGATCCTTGTATCCAGGCGGAAAAAGTTTGTTTGCTTTTGTTAAGGTTTCAATACTCAAATTGTCCTTATTCAAAGGAAAACTTAAGATTTTGGTGATAAGGGAAAATATTCCCTTTGAAGATACCACATTTTTGGTTAAATTTATGCCTAAAGAGTCTAAAACCTCTTTGAATTTTTTCCGGTAAAAAGTTTTTACTTCCCGGGCTGTTAATCTACGGTGTTATCTATAATCATTTTCTGCATCAGTGTGAAATTTCCTAGAAATCCGCTCATCCAATCAAATCATTAATAGCATCTGTGTTGTTACTGATATTTTATAGGTTCATGACATTGTTTTTAAATACATTAATACTGTCAATGACATTGAAGTTTGAAATTTCTAAGATTTGTGTTAATATTTTTATCTTCTCAATAATACCCTTCATGAAAAAATAAGCAACAATTAAATCAAAAATTGTTACTTATGTCAAAAGTCGCATTGTCTTAGTTCTCGTATTAGTATCAAAAATCTTATTATTTGAGATTCTCTAAAGAAGATTAATACTGATTTAGAGCCTTGACAGACTTTACTCGTGCGGTTCCTCTTGTTCAATACATGTTTACCAGCTGTATTGCATTGTCAATGTCTTCGGGTTTTTCTTTTAAATGACTTTAAAAATCTTTTTGTTCTTGATGTAAAAAAAACATGTAACTGTTTGAAGACATTAAACAACTCTTGAATTAAAGTATTAACGTTGCAGGCATGTTCAAGAACAGTGTTAGTTCTGTGGTCTTGGAAAGGTATGTTGGGCACATTATGGTCAACTTCCTCTGTTGTATAATTTTGAACTCCCTTAAATTGTCTAAACATTGAACTAGCATAGTCATGACTGAAAAGTTATATTTAATATGTCAATGTTTTTTTTTAAGTAAAGAAGATAAAGTTAGCTCAGCCATCACTTTTCCAGTTTTATAAGTGCATTTGATTGATTTCAAAAGCCTTTCCCGAATCTCACCGTTTTCACTGACTAATATAAGCGTTTATTTATTCCAAAACATTTTTTGACATTTCCACCGCAGAACTTGTTGCATTCACAATTTTAATGGCATCATTTTTCATTTACTAACTCTCTTTTACAATATTTTTTATAAATGTCACTACATTCTTTAAAATTATCAATTTAAATACCCAAGTTCCCCATAAGGAAGCCCTCTTCTGCTTGTTCCTGGACGCCAATATTTCTGGGGTTTACCCCTGTCGCGTCCTTGCCTTGAACTTTTAAAATTGCGTCTTCTTTAAATTTTTTATCAGAAAATGTTGTTTCTCCTTTTATTTTGATTCCGCATGTTGAAGTTGATGATACAATTATTATTAGGTCTTCTAACTTTATAACACTATTTTATATTTCAGAAGTTCTCATCTTTTCTCTTTCCTAGATTCTAAGGGATAGCGTGTTTGTGTGTGTGTGTGTATAATAGGGTATGTCATACTTTTAAAAAATTTTAAATTAAAAAAAAAAACAGTTTGGGGAGTGATTTTATTGTGTGATATGTACTTTAAGCAACATTGAAATAAAAGTTTTTTTTTTTTTTTTTTGGGTAAAAATGAACTTGAAAATTGCAATATTTAGATAATTAACGTTAAAATGAAAACAATGGATAAAATTAAAAAAAAGTTATAATGAAAATTAAGTTTTATTACACATGGTTGTTAAAACATTTTACCAGACAAATATATATATATATATATATACATATATATATATATATATATATATATATATATATATATATATATATATATATATATATATATATATATATATATATATGTATATATATATATATATATATATATATATTTATATATATATATATATATTTATATATATATATATGTATATATATATATATATGTATATATATATATATATATATATATATATATATATATATATATATATATATATATATATATATATATATATATATATATATATATATATATATATATATATATATATATATATATATATATATATATATATATATATATATATATATATATATATATATATATGCATTATTGATTTGAAAAAGTACTTTTTAAAGTAGTATTAAATCAAGCAAATTAGGTAAAAACTAGAGTTTTGAATTAGATTTAACTCCACCCACAAAAGTTTTTTTTATGTTTTACATGATATCTTTAGCCATTTTCAACTCTAAACTTAAGTTTATCTTTATGCTTCAAATGAGAATGTTTTGCAAAAAATGGCACCAAGAAGTCTGTAAATAAAAACACCAAAATAATTTTCTCATGCTTTTGAGTTCATTTAACCTCATAAGTAAGGGTATTGAACTCTAAAATAGTATTACTTAAAGTTTAATATATGCAGATAAATTTCCTGAAACTGTTATATGTAAAACATCAAAATGTTCTGTTGGTGCACACAGGTTTGTATAAATATATTATAATTACACAAAATATTGAATAAAATAACAACATGTTTTTATGGGAAATAAAGTTTTCTTTAAAATCAATCAATCAAAACTAAACAATTTGATTAAATCTTTTTTGGATTTCAGATTTGGAACAACATCTCTATGCTCTATTCTCGCTCTAATAAAACCATCACGTCTCTGAAAACCACAAACAGCAGCTGCTGCTTCAGTCACTTGTTTAACAACTCTTTCACAAGACTGGGTGTGCAGTGGATAGTAAGGTACTTCCATAGGAGAATCTATTACTTTTTGTAAATCTTTTTTTGTCATATTACATGTAAAATTTGGCTCCAAGATTTGTTCATTATTCCAGTCAATGAGTTCAAGGAGAGTCATAGCATCAAAGTTAAGTGTAGGTTTTTTTCGGTTTCTTACACTTACGTTACCTTGCTCTAAATCTCCCCTAACTTTCATAATTATCTTGACTGCAAAAGCTCTATTTTCAATTGATGAGCTTGCAAGAAGAGAAATAAGAAGAGACTCAGAATGAGCATGAAATGCCCCATTTTGAACAGACTTACTAACAGCATTTATAACTTCGACAGTTTAACTTCTTAATAGATAAAGAAGTTTGATTAAATGATGGGGTCCATTGACAATAGAGTGCTTTACCTTGATTCTAAACCACATATGAAAGTATACTTGAGCCTGAAACTGAGAAAGAAATTTTAGATTTTAAAAGTATCACCTTCTAAGCCATGTTTACTAATGTAAAGTCAAAGCATTGCCTGACCAGTTGTGAGCCACCTGCTATGTCAAAGATTACCACATTTTCTGTTGACAAATGAAGGATTCAAGATACCTGATTCAAGACAAGAAACTAACTTGTAGCTTAGTGAAGCGTCGGTTGACATATTCTTTAAAATGTCATCCGGAATTTTAATCAAAAGTTCAATCTGTCTAATTGGTTCAAACTTTTCTAGTCGTTTTAATAGATTTAATTTTGATAATAGTTTGCCTATAGGCCGTATAAATCCATCTTTGGAGTTTGTAGGTTCATCAAGATTTGCAATAAGGTGTCTTAAAGGTAGCTCATTAGTATGTGACATGCAAATTGACCAAAAACATTTTCTACCAATAAGTTTCTCTAGGTGAGTTAATAAT